AAAAGTATTCTAAAAGTAATCTGAATACGTTACTAACTGTATTCTGATTACTTTCAGAGCATGTATTCAGTAACTGATTACATTTACAAAGTAACCCTCCCAACCCTGCCTAGAAGTGATGCTTCGTTAGCGTGAAGAGTCTGCTAAGCTTTATGCGGTCCGCAGTACCTGAGCGTGCTCCACTAGCATTGTGGACTATATAAAAATCGCTGGCCCGCGATAGTGTCTATTTGGATACATTTTGGCCCTTGGACAAATGTAGTTGGTGATCCCTGCCATAGACTGTATAGAGTGGCGAAGTCCCTGCCCTTCCGGTGGACCTCCATGGGACCTTATTTCGGAAAAATTATGTATTGAAGTCAATGGAGAGAGAAAGATTATCTTTCGATCCCGTTTGAATTGTGCCATGAATTACACATATGATGTTTGTCAATTTAAAAGATAATTTTGCAAGTCAAAAAATAAAAAATGTGTTGTAAAACTGTGAAGTAACACATTTGTTTGTGTGAAACGCTCAATGAACTACATCTCTGGTCTCGCACAACAACACACGTCACCAAGATGGCCGTCACTACTACCCTCACTATCACCACAATGAAACACGTCCAGAAGAATGTCATGCAAAGCTGCCTGCCTGCCTTCCTTTGATTCTCTCTGAACTGCCTGATATTTTTAATGTTTAATGTCAACCATTTGTGCAGATAGCATGAAGTAGAAAAGATCACCGATAGTGACTGGAAAAAGTTTTTAAAGTTATTACACCGTTTCAGATAATTATAATAATAATAATAATCATAATAATAATAAAATAATAATAATGATAATTCATTCTATTTAGAGGTGCCATTCAAAGCACCCAAGGACACCTTACAATTCATAAAATATTCAGGTGGGTTTTGAGGAGGGACGTGGTGATTGTGTCAGACTGTCGGATGTCAAGGGGGAGAGAGTTCCATAGTTTGGGAGCAGCTAAAAGCCCGATCCCCCATCGTGACTTGGCGTGGGGGGGGGGACAGTTAGCAGGCCAGCAGAGGAGGAGCGGAGGGAGCGAGAGGGGGTGTAGGAGGTCAGCCAGACAGGTGGGGGCCAGGTTGTGGAGGGCTTTGAATGTGAGCAGGAGGGTTTTGAATTGTGAATTGTGAATTGTCCGACCGGCCCACTTCGGTACCGGCCCATCGGGATTCGTCCCTGGTTGGCCTCTTATGATGGTGCTGTCTTTTAATATATGATTATTTCTCAGCCGCTAGTTTGTTCCTTTCTGGTAGTAGTCAACTAGTACCGAGTCCAACAGTGTCAGTTTTATTAACAACTTGTGGTAAAAAATATTTGTATCACTCGTCAAATAGAGCAGGGAAAAAAAATGAAGAGCTGCTGATTTGAAAAACCAAACGCGAGAGATGGCTGAGATGACCGCAGTGCAGAATCGCTGTATAGTGTAAATCTCCTAACAATGTTGTCCATTTTAGACATAGGCTTATTATATTTACAGCCCTTAGTAACATTAATTTTCTGGGCTCAATGTGTGTCTTGGCCATTTTAGTTTTGATCGCTAAATTCACCTCGTTTCCCCTTGATTATTTATCACAGTTCCAAGCAAACGAGTGCTTTTGTTTTGAATTCACATCCTTGAGTTTTGCCCAGATCCTCGCTCCAATGACCATTAGACCATTTAGTAAGGTAAAAAACAAAAAGCAAAAACGCCTCTCAGACGCTCTTCCGTTTACTTGTTTAATAAAGAAAAACAAATGGTCCGAAGATACACGGACTCAAATCCCACCATCATGTTGATTTGAATCAGAAGATCTGAACATAAGCCCGCCCCGCTCGACCTTCTGAGCCAATCACAGCGCGATAATGACCTGCCTTCCGTTTCAACTATACTCCTTCCGTTCAGATAAAAGAGAATGTCGAAAAGCTGAACGCAGGTGGCGAAAAACAAATGTCCAGGTTCACTTTGAAATCTATAAAGAGAGACTTGGCCTTTATAATTTGGAATTGAAAAACGCACGACAATCGTTCTTCTCTGACATCATTACCAAAAACAAAAACAACGCACGTGCCTTGTTTGCTACCGTCGACAGACTAACTAACCCCCCAGTGTCAGTAGCCTCTGAATTTCTATCCACCAGGGCGTGCAATGACTTTGCCTTTTTCACTGACAAAATTCAGAAAATCAGACAAGCAGTCAGTGCCTCTGCATCAGGAACAGCAAATGTGTTGTCTCTGTGTCCACCTAACATCAATTCAAACACCATGACACAATTCCATCAGATTAATGATAAAAACCTAGAGGACATTATTCAACTTCTGAAATCCTCCTCTTGCTGCCTTGATATTATTCCAACAGGGTTTTTCAAAGATGTTTTGCCTTGCATGGCCTCAGATCTACTTCATATAGTAAACAAATCTCTTCACTCAGGTATTTTTCCACAGGCCCTGAAAACTGCAGTCATTAAACCGCTCTTAAAAAAGAATAATCTAGATGCTTCAGTAATGAACAATTACAGGCCCATATCAAACCTGCCCATTTCTAGGTAAAATCATTGAAAAAGTTGTTTTCAACAGTTGAGTAATTTCTTGCATTTAAATAACTGTTTCGATGTGTTCCAGTCAGGCTTTCGTCCAAACCACAGCACTGAGACTGCTCTTGTAAAGGTCTTTAATGACATCCACTTAAACACAGACAGTGGCAGAACTTCAGTGTTAGTATTATTAGATCTCAGTGCTGCGTTTGACACTGTTGACCACAGCATATTACTAGACCGACTGGAAAACTGGGTGGGACTTTCGGAAACAGTTCTAAATTGGTTTGAATCCTACTTAAAGGACAGAAACAACTTTGTTTCTATAGGTAAATACACATCTGAGTTGACAAATATGACATGTGGGGTTCCTCAAGGCTCCATCTTGGGGCCTCTTCTCTTTAACATCTACATGCTACCACTGGCTCAGATAATGAAAAACAACAAAATAAGTTACAATAGCTATGCAGATGACACACAAATGTACGTAACAATTTCACCAGGAGACTATGCTCCAATTCAAACACTGCAGTAAGTGCATTGAACAAATCAATGACTGGATGTGTCAGAACTTTCTCCAATTAAACAAAGATAAAACTGAGGTAATGGTTTTTGGAGCAAAGGCAGAACGTATAAAAGTGAGTGCTGAGCTTCAGTCTGCAATGTTCCAAACAACAGATGAAGCCAGAAATCTAGGTGTAGTCATGGACTCTGACCTGAGTTTCAACAGTCACATTAAAACTGTTACTAAATCAGCCTACTATCACCTAAAGAATATATCTAGGATTAAAAGACTAATGTCACAGCAGGATTTGGAAAAACTTGTCCATGCTTTTATCTTCAGTAAACTCGACTACTGTAATGGTGTCTTCACAGGTCTCACTAAAAAATCTATTAGGAAGCTACAGCTGATTCAGAACACCGCTGCTCGAGTCCTCACTAACACTAAGAAAGTGGATCACATCACTCCTGTTCTGAAGTCTTTGCACTGGCTTCCTGTGTGTCAAAGAATAGATTTAAAAAATACTGCTGCTGGTTTATAAAGCATTGAATGGTTTAGGCCCAAAATACATTTCTGACCTCCTGCTAAATTATGAACCATCCAGATCTCTCAGGTCTTCAGGGACTGGTCAGCTTTCTGTCCCCAGAGTCAGAACTAAACATGGTGAAGCAGCGTTCAGTTATTATGCTCCAAATATCTGGAACAAACTCCCAGAAACCTGCAGGTCTGCTGCAACTCTTACTACTTTTAAATCCAGGCTGAAGACTTATTTTGTTAATTGAACTATTCATATCTTAAACTGCACTGTAACTTTTATTCATGTATTTTTTCTTTTAATGTTTATTTTATTATCTTTGCTTTTTAATGACTGATTTAAATGCCATTTTCTTAATGTCTTTAATTTTTGTAAAGCACTTTGAATTGCCTTGTGTTGAAAGGTGCTATATAAATAAACGTGCCTTGCCTTGCCTATTAACCCTGAATGTAATATGAAGACAGTTGAACATACACAGGATATCTTTGTGTTATTTGGATCAACTAACCCCACCATCTACCATCTCTGTAGGTCAACCCAGGGTTTTTTAGTCTGGCCAGAGCCATATAATAGAAGAGTTACGACATCTCCGTTCACTCCAATGGACCAGTTTTTTTACAGCAATGGCGGATCGTGGAGCCCTCAATAGTTCCCCGGAAGTTAGATTGCCCCTGACTTCCGGGGAACTATTGAGGCTATCTGCAGCTAGCAGCGCCGTAGAGTTGCGGCATAATAGACCGTTCGTGTTGGACTTTTAAAGGTAAGAAGACGTTTAAAGATTTATATTGCGGATATTATCAGCACATCTGAGTCAAATTAACATGTGTATCAAAGGATGTTAGTGGATTATCCCTAAATCAGTATATTTAGGGAACGTTTACAGATAACAGATTAGGCTAGGATACCGGATAAAGTTAGCAACACACGTTAACCATGAACAGCCTATTAATCCGTTCTCCTAATGTTATTTCCTCCAACGTTGTGGAATTAGAGGAAAGGGGCTTCTTAACGTGCTTTTATCCGGGGTGGAGGGAGTTACATATTAGTTAAATATAACATTGGGGCGTGTGATTGTAGTGGGTGGAGGTGGTGAAATGAGGATATCCATCTTGGAGTTCAAGCTAGTATAATATAGTTAACGTTACACAATAATAAGGAAGAGAGCTATTTTTGTGATACATCGCTATTTATATGGATTTAGAGTGCATATTTAGTTTTTATCTTGTGCAATTATTAATAGGAATGGACAGTGGAAATGATTATGCACCCAGCCAGATAACCCTGGAGAGACTTTACTAACCCCAGATCCTGCTTCTGCCTCTGTGTAAAATGTCACTGCTGTTTTCGTTTTCTAGTATTGCAGAGTCCAAGAGGGTATTTTAGATAACACAGTGAATAATATACATGTACAGTATCCCACTGGAGGAGGCTGATACGTTACCCTTTGCCTCCGGAGGAGCTGCTGGAGGAGGTGGTCCGACTCCGACTCTCCACCCCCATCTCTCTCCTCACCATAGTGAGACGCTCGGTGGACATACTCTTCCTAAAGGAGAAAGTTTTTGTGTTAAAAACATATATTTACACTTCTTCTCCTCTATTCAACCAAGATACACTCTGGTTTTGTGTACCTCTTGATGGACTGTAGCACCTCCTTCTTAGGAGAGGAGGGGGAGGAGAGGAGGCGCTTCTGTTGAACGTAGCCGTTATTCAGAGGTCTGGAGGGAAGAGCCTGCAGGAGCTGACGCACTGAAAGGAAAACATTATTTTCATCAGCAAAACGGGAATTGAGAGACGATAATAATTCTGAATCTGAGACTTTGTGCTGTATGTGAGGCAACGGTGACCCTGCACTGTGACCGATATGACATGCAAAGTTCCGTTTTATTTTGTATTATCTTGATTAATGACACGTCATTCTGCGTTTCTTGTTGCACTATATCATAATGCTTTGAATGCTTTTCGTATAGCCCTTTGAATGTTGAAATGTGCTGTATACATACATTTGCCTTGCAACAGTATGTGCAGTAAGACTTTAATTAGCTTTTGCTGCTTTCCAGATCCATGTCATGAAGGAGAATTTCTTGGCCATATTGATGATACTGATGATAAAATAGGTAGTGATGCTTCTGGGCGCTGGTATACTTTTGTCCGGTTACCTTTCTTACCCTTGGTGGTATGTGCTGTTGCTGTGGTGGGCAGGGGTCTCCTCCCAGCAGCGTGGCCCCCCGGCGGCTGACCCAGGCTCTGCTCCTCACAGCAGCCCAACCTGCGCAGGGCGTCGGCCAGAGCGGCCTTCAGCAGCTGGATCTCGTCCTCCTGCAGCTGCAGCTTCTGCTCCAGGTGGGACACCCGGTCCTCCATGTCCAGGTTACTGCCCGCTGACACCGTGTCATCTGGACCGGAGGAGAGAGGGTTTCATTTAGATTCCACTTACAGAGACTAACAGCAACAAGGCAGCCTTCAATGGGTCCCGATTGGCAGGAGTGGTAATTATTGTACTCCTGTTTATTATAAAAATGTATAACAACTATATGAAGTGCTTGTGTCAAGTATTTAACAGACTGGGTTTTATTTTGATATTATATAAGATATATTAATAAATATACCATGCCCCTTTAAACAACGCAATAGAAAGATGAACAAGTAAAAGGAGAGGACAAACACTTGATTTGATCCAGTGCTGAAAATAAGCACTGGTAGTATAGTGGCTACAACACGAAGATTAGCAACTAGAGTGCATGTATAAGAGAAAGACATCAAGAAGCTGTGTGTGCATCAGAGGGAGTGTAAAAAAGAATAGGAGGAGATAATGTATAAGAACCATGAGTGACTGGATATTTCAACAGTTGGACTATCTCTCTCAGTCTCAGTCCAAATCAATTCCTATCTTAAAGAAAACAACATCTTAGAAGTATTTTCAGATACTATTTTCAGTCAGGTTTCAGAAAACACCACAGTACGGAAACTGCACTCACAGGTAATTAGTGACCTCAGACTCAACTCTGATGCAAATAAAATCTCCATCCTTATCCTATTAGATCTCAGTGCAGCTTTTGATACTATTGATCACAACATCCTAATAAATCGACTTGAAAAGCTTATTGGTTTCACTGGTTGCGTGCTGAACTGGATCAAAACATATATCAGAGGAAGGATGTTCTATATTAGTCTAGGAGGCCATACATCAGAGAAACATGAAAGCCGCTACGGGGTTGCACAAGGGAGCTGTTTAGGTCCATTACTCTTTTCTCTCTATATGTTACCGCTCGGCGACATCATCAGGATGATACACAATTGTACATATCCGCTGAACCAAATGATGTGACAGCCATAAACTCCATTACCAACTGCCTGACAGCAATAAACAAATGGATGAACGATCATTTTCTTAAATTGAATGAGGACAAAACTGAAGTCCTACTTGTTGGCCCCAAATCAAAAAGAGAGATGCTAACAAATAATCTAGGAAGTTTAACCACTTGGATTAAACCGGAGGTGACAAGTCTCGGTGTCATCCTAGACTCAGATTTGAACTTCAACGCCCATTTAAACAAAGTGACCAAAATAGCTTTCTTTCATCTCAGAAACATAGCGAAGGTAAGACCATTCATAAATCAAAATGATGCAGAGAAGCTAATTCATGCTTTTATATCTAGCCGACTAGACTACTGCAATGCACTATTCACTGGTCTCCCCAAGAAAGCTATTGGAAGACTCCAGCTCATTCAAAACTCTGCAGCTAGACTACTGACGAATACCAAAAGGAGGGAACACATTAGTCCTGTCTTAGCTACTCTACACTGGCTTCCTGTAACTTTCAGAATTGATTTTAAGGTGCTTCTCCTCACATACAAAGCTCTAAATGGACAAGGACCCAGCTACATTGCTGACTCTCTAATGAACTACACACCTGCCAGAACACTGCGATCATCAGGTGCAGGTCTATTAGAGGTCACCAGAAAGAGTCCTAAGAAGATCGGTGATGCAGCCTTTGTAAACTACGCCCCAAAACTGTGGAACACGTTACCCAACAATATTAGGGAAGCCAATACATTAGGCAAAAGCATTTGACTGACTTTACACTATTATACTGCACTATTCTCTGTGATTGACATTGCACTATTTCTCTATGTTTTATTCCCCATGTTTTTATTTTTAATTATTTTATCCCACTTCATGCTTTGCTCTTGCTGCTTGTTTTACACTGATTTTATATCTTATTTCTTACTGATGTAAAGCACTTTGAACTGCAATCCCCTGTATGAAAGGTGCTATACAAATAAAGTTATTATTATTATTATTATCTATAGTTTATAGATATAAACACAAGCAGCTGTTTAGTTGCAGTGTTATAGATATCTCCTGCTGCTGCTTTGTGAATCAATGGTTTAGAGTTTCCCAAGAGCATGAGAGAATACAGGACACTTGGTTTGAATCATTCAGACACCATGTGCGTGTGACTCAGACAGGACAAGGACACCAGAGAGCAGGTTGTGGTTGGTTTGTCCGAAGAGACAGAGTGTTGTCCTCTTCATTACAATCTCATACATGAAGAAGTATAGGTGCCCTTTGATGTTCTCAACCATCAAAGATTCAAGGTTTTATTGTCAAACGCACGTTGTGTAGTTTTGGCATTTTTTCGTATCAATGTTTTGATTGGTAGATTCAGATTGTGTTTGAATGTTTGCATCACCGTTCCAATCAACTGCATAGGACAGTCATGTAAATGTGAGGAGAAAAATAAAGATGTTGTAAACATGTAAAGCAGATTTTATTTTAAAGTTTGGTTTTGCTAATGCTTTAGGTTGGGGAAAGGAATGTCTACATTTGTATACTTGAACTGAAAGTAGAAGTCTTTGTCCAACATTTCCATTTAACCAATACTTTAGTCGGCCTGCAAATCTAATAGCCTCAGCTGTACATCTTGTTTAGTGCTTAATAGCAAATATGTACATGCTAAACTAAAAGTGAGATGGATGTATAAAGAGAACTGGACAGTGTTGGAGGCAGGGCCCCTTTCATTCCTATGAAAGTTGCTCAGTGGGACTTGAAACCAAAATGGCATGACTCTCAAGTACAGAAATACCCAGATCTTAAGGGGGTCTGGGCCCATAGAGCTTGTGCATATGCCTTTACTTTAGTCAGAGCTCCAATCAGTGGGTGTTTCTCAATGTTGAGTACGCTTGCTTGGTAGCACATGTCTTCCGAGTCACTTGCTTCAGAAGCGAGGCAAGAATACTTCCTGGCATTCGGAAAACAAAGAGTGGAACAGGCGAGCAAGTGTGCAGGTGTGCGTCATATGAGAGGCCCCGCTTTACATTTTCCGCCACAGATTTTGGGAAATTGGTCCGTGCGCAAAGCATTGTGGGGATTTTAAAACCGCGGAGTCTACACATGTGCAGCCTTGAAATTTCTCGCTACGAAGTACGCCGGGCTCGGTAGAATTCCAAGTATGCTGGACATTGGAACAGTCCTTCGGCGGCACTCGGTAACGTAGTATGCTTGAAATAGAGGATCTGAAGCAGCTTTCCTCGACATTGAGAAACACCCAGTTACTTCACAGCAGCCTCCTGTCTGGTCTCAGCTCAGTCAAATAAATGGAGAGGGAAATGAACCCTGGATTTGGATATGAGCGCACTTTTAGAATCTAATCATTTAAATAAAATATATTAAAGTGTTTGTTCTAGAGTTGATTTACATTTTGTCACTGACACTGACGTTGCAGTAACACCAGTTGGCCACTACCAACATTTACTTCAATGCCCAGCTCACTTCCTGGTAGGTTCGTGTGAACATGGTAAAGATGAAACCTTCTAAACATCAACATGTTAGCATTTAGGTCAGACACTTGCTGAAGTACAACTTGGCTGCAGACACTCTGCTCATCACTGCTGCTGATTCCCGGCCCCTCACATCCCTCCATCCTCTTCTTTATTCCTCTTCCTGAACTCTTTCCAGCCTAATCTTCCAGCACCCTCACACCCACCATGATAACATCAGTGTATTGGAGGCAAACTGCCCAGTGCAGATTATGAATCTGTGGCCCACATCTACAGATTACAGCCAGCATGTTTCTGGGTTCACAGAATGTCTCGACTTTTCATCCATCCTAAATTGTAAATCCTGACCCCTCTCTGTCAACAGTCAGCTCTGTCACAAATGTGTCCTCACAGATTATCATTAAAGAAAGAGACATGTTACTTACTCAAACTAAGAAAAAGTTATGTCAATCTTGCAAATCAGTAAAATGTTAACAGCAATGCTTGAATATACTGCATTTACTCCTCTTCACAATGTAGTCTTTATTTAAAAGCCTAATGTGTCAGAGGTTTCTGTTGCAAACATGGAGGTGAACTGGGAGCTCTCCAAGTAACAGTCCACACTCCATATTTACTCTACTGACTGAGCCACTGCCGAACATAAGAGTGGTGCAAGTCCTAAGTCCTAAAACCCGGAAATGATTTAACATTTTAGGGCTACCTCGTACCCCAAGTGAAGGAGTTCAAGTATCTCGGGGTCTTGTTCTCGAGTGAGGGAACAATGGAGCGTGAGATGGGCCAGAGAATCGGAGCAGCGGGAGTGGTACTGCAGTCGCTTTACCGCACCGTTGTGACGAAAAGGGAGCTGAGCCAGAAGGCAAAGCTCTCTGTCTACCGGGCCATTTTCGTTCCTACCCTCACCTATAGTCATGAAGGATGGGCCATGACCGAAAGAAGGAGATCGCGGATACAAGCGGCCAAGATGGGTTTTCTCCGCAGGGTGGCTGGGGTCTCCCTTAGGGATAAGGTGAGAAGTTCGGTCATCAGGGAGGGACTCGGAGTTGAGCCGCTCCTCCTTCGCGTCGAAAGGAGCCAGTTGAGGTGGTTCGGGCACCTAGTTAGGATGCCACCTGGGCGCCTCCCTAGGGAGGTGTTCCAGGCACGTCCAGCTGGGAAGAGACCAAGGGGTAGACCTAGGACCAGGTGGAGGGATTATATCTCTTCGCTGGCCTGGGAGCGCCTTGGGATCCCCCAGTCAGAGCTGGTTGATGTCGCCAGGGAAAAGAAAGTTTGGGGCTCTCTGCTGGAACTGCTACCCCCGCGACCCGACCACGGATAAGCGGGAGAAGATGGATGGATGGATGGATGGATGGGCTACCTCGTTTCGTGGTCAAACATTTTGTTGAAGGGTTTTTGGTTAGAACCCAAAATAGTGTGGTATATACAAGTTGTTCACGTTTTGTTAGTGGTGATGTCATGTGACCGTGCTGTAGTCCCTTGACATTATTGCTAGCTTTTTACTTCTGCCCGACTGCATTCACGCTTTAACTATTAGAAAAGGTGGTGTTAATATGTGGAGATGATCCTGCCGTAGCACATGTGTAAGCAGTGGTGGCCGGCCCATAGGGGCGCTA